TGCCGAGCAAGGACCCTGATGTGGGACTCGATCCCAGGATGCTGGGATCATGACCTGAGCCGAAGGCAGCCGCTTAACCAACTGAGCCACCCAGGCATCCCTTGGAAGACATTTTTAACTACACACTGCACCCCCTCCCCCCATTATAAAGCATCCAATAGAATAATCTTTATAATCATTTTAAAACATCCATGAAAGACTTCTGGTCAGGGGACAGAATTCTGCAGAGGTCATGCACTGGTTCGTTGGTTTTTTTTTTTGTTTTTTTTTGTTTTGTTTTGTTTTTTTTTGGCATCTGGTTGAGTGAGAGGGGCTGTGCTTTGCTTGGACAACTAATTCAGGATACATGATGGCGGCTGGATGGATCTGTGGGTGGTGATGTCAGGAGGCATATCCTAGACCCAGTGTGGGCTGATTAGGAAGGGTTGCCCTTTATAGACACAGGTTCCACCATCATCAGTTCAGGGCAAAGCTGACTCCAGAGAAGAGGTATGCTTGCCCCTTGTAAGATTATCAGTTTAAACCAGGAGGCAGACTGATAGAAGGTAAGCTGCAAACCAGCCGTGACACAAAGTATTCTTTTTTGATTTGTTTCTTATTTGCAATGGAAACGAGAGTCTTTTTTTTTTTTCCTGTTAAAATAGTTAAGGCAGTAGCTTTTGAGTTTTGTGGAATTTTTAAAAAATGCTACTGTTTGCTTACGTATTGTTTTACCTTGTGGCTAAGTTGGAAGGAGGTAACATTTTCGTGAAATTAAATTTGCATATTTAATCAGCACTTCAGATTCCTTGGAGCAGACTGTTGCTCCCTTCCATCTACTGCTGCTACTGTTATTGTTGATACAGTTTAAAAGAGTTGGAAAAGTAACTTGTAGCTTGGTGCAGTCCTTTTCATTGAGAACTGAGGCCACAAGCAGCTATCATCTTAGAGCCTGTGGGGGAAATTCTTAAAACCAGGATTTTAGACTCTAAGGATAAATCTGCTTCCTTCTGTTATTTGTGTTTCTTGTCAAAGCTTTTGGAAAAATTTCAGATTAACCTTTTTAATTCTGGAGGCTGGCTGGCTATGGTATTTGAAGCCTGTGATTGAGTTAAGAGGAGGGATGGTAGATAATAGGAATAGGAATGATGAGGTTTGGGGACTATATTGACATTTGGCTTCTGATTAGATTGGAAAGAGGGCAATTACAGTTGATGTGGCCATATTCTATTTGATTGGATTAAAGTGTGCTGGTTGGATTATCTAATTGAAAAAAAAAAAGGAGGTAGCCAAGCAATCTGATTTCTGTTATATCTAATAAAGGTCATCATACAGGGAGCCTGGAGAGAAGAGGGTATTGGTAACTTTGTGTATCTGTGGATGGTAGTGGCATTGGAGGCTGCTGGAGGTTTTCTGTAGGAGGTGAACTTGAAGCTGATTTTGAAGCCTGGCACCAGGAGAGCAGGGTCCTAAGAAGAGTATGTCCAAAAGAAACAGTTTATGAAAAGGCATCATGTAGTCAGGAGCACTGAAGTATTCTGGGTGGCTACTGCACGGTGTGGAGTATTGGGAAATGGGTGGATGGGTCTGGTGATTAGGACCTAGTAGGAAAAATTTAACATTCCAGTTTTATCTTAAAAGAGTTAGAGGAGATTTTGAAGAAAGGGAGTGACATTATCAGGTTTATTTTTATTTCTTATCAGGATCACTGGATAGTGTATAAAAGATAGACAAGAATGAGAATATACTGATGATGGGGCTTTATACTGACTTTATACTTATACCAATGAGGAAGTTTTAGGTGGGGGGTGGGGGTAAGCACAATTCCTGCATTACGACCAGATGTAGGAAAGGAGAGAAAAGGAAAATATATGGAAGATTTTTTTTTTTTTTTTAATTTTATGTGTGAAGCACAGTAGTCAAGGAAAACACCTAGATTTCTTTTTTGGCCAGTTTGGTGAGTGGCAACACCACAATATTTTCTTCCTGGCATGTAGGTGCCATATTTGATTATCAGAACATAAAAGCTTTCTTCTTGAGGTTGTGCCCACAAGCATCCTTGCTTTTAGGAGGGGCTAGCTGAAAACTGGCATATAGTTCACAGCCCATTTTTCTAAATGTGGTCCCATGAAGCACTGGTTTTGAGAAGTGTCAACAGATACTTTGTAGGGGAAGAAATGTTGAATAATCCAAAACTTTTGGGAAACATGAAATGCTATACCCCTCTTGGAGGGTGTCAGTGGAAACATATCAGACACTCACAGTAAAGAGTCTCTTCAACTTTCTTTAACTCAGAATTTCCATAGTTACTTGAGTTTAGAGAGCTTTTTTTTTTCAAGGAACACATATTTGGGGGGATCTAACTAGACTGCAGTTTTTATGCTATGAAATTTGGGAGGGGGAGGATATGATTATCCAAGTAATCACTGTGTTTGAATAAGAAGACAGAACTGTATCCAGTGGTGTGCTAATATGTGTCTACCTACCAGCCTGGGGGATGTGGGGGAGGTAAGAGGGACTAGAGGTGTTAGAAATACAGGAAGAAGCACGAAATAGTTATCTTGGGGAGCAAGACAGCAGACTCACTGCAGCAGCATGATAGAATTACCAGACAGTTTTGAGTACCCTTTGGAGGTTTGAGGTCATGAACCTAAAGTGAGACTAGCCAGCAAAAGCAGTGCTATTTTCTCCAGCTGCCAGGGTTTAGGAGTTGAGAAGATGGGGGCTAGGTTTAACCAGGATGAGAGCTTTTCCAGGCAAGAATAACATGAAGGAAAGGAGCATGAGAGATTGGGAATCTGGGGCTCTCTGGTGGGTAAGGAAGGAGTAAGCACGTGTGTGTGTGTGTGTGTGTGTGTGTGTGTGTGTGTGTGTGTGTTTGTGACGATAACGGAGAGGTGCTGGGTCTTTGGATTGGAGGTTTCAAGCCATTAGAGGACAGATGGAGTTGGGGTAGTGGAGTAAATAATTTGAAAATAAAGGAGGTGATAGAATTCCCATTTGGGAGATGGGGCACTTGCTGGCAGTGATAAGAAAAGGTCTTCAGAAGTGAGGAGGTCTAGGTGTCAAGTGCGTTCTGCTGATGACACCCAGGATTCAGATGGGTGGAGGATGGACGGGGAAGGCAGTTGCGCCAGGTGCTAGTCCTCAAGGGTTCAGAAGGACAGGGAATTCCAGAGATGACAGCAGCAGCTGGGATAGTATCACTGGGTTGCATGAGCTTCAAGGGAAGAAGGAAGGAAGGAAGGAAGGAAAGAAAGAAAGAAAGAAAGAGAAAGAAAAGAAAAAAGAAAAGAAGAAATGTTTTCGAAAGAGCAAAGACACTCGTCGCACTTTTAGACTTTGAGATGATGTGGATGCCAGAAGAAAACAACCTGTACTTTAGGGAGCTTCAGGGAGAAATGGTCATCTCAGGGAACAACAGGCTTCTAGCGTGAGACAAGGAGGTAAAAGGGAAGGTTCCCAGAGGTGGCTGAGGATTTAGAAGAGTTTTCTGACGAGGTGCTACCTTCTAGAGGACAGGGTGGAAGAGTTTAAGAGGGTGGGGATGGTTGGATGAGACCTTGTCTGGAGTTTATGGCGATGAGGGTCCAGCAGATAATGGAGCTATGGTTTCCTAGACATCCTGTTTCCATGGCAAATGGGGTTGTACCTGTGCTGCTTCTGAATGCTTTCGCATGGGGCATAAGGCAGATTCAACAAATACTGCAAAAATTATTCTTAAGGGACAGCAAACAACTAATATGGTCCTGCCTTACTCCTAACATATTAATGAGAACTTAGTTAACATTACCAACATCCAGAAGAGTACTAGGAGAGTACTTTTATCTATAGATAAAGAAGAGATCTATATCTGACTGAGGGGGAAGGTGCCTATGCCCCCTGGGCCAGCATAGATGTTAGGGTCCGTTATTAAAGGAAGGAGATTGAGACAAAGTGAAAGTTATTTAAAGCTTTATTCTATGCCAAGCATTAGAAGTCAGACTGACCGGCCAGGGCTGCCTCCAAAGAGAGCGACCCCTCTCAGCCTCACAGACTAACTTTTATACAGCAAAAGCCTGGCCACACATAGGTGGCCAATGAGATTGTAACATTGCATAGTCATGATAGGCCACATGCAGGTGGCCAATTGAATTACAATTTACCCGATAGTAGCTGTTTGAACTAACTTATTACTCTGGTCAGAATTGGAGCTCAAGTTTGGTGCCCAAAAAGCAGGGTTTACATTCTTTGGTGGTTAGGGAGACAGTATGTGTGCCTTTTACTGATTGGATGTCTCCACCTGGCCTGACTCCTCCTTGCATTCTGGGCTCTGTTATTAGGAACTGGCTGACCATATTTTACTGGTTTTCTAGACTTGTTTCTTAAGTAAGTTCCCACGGGGCGGGGGGTAGGGGGTGCTGGCGAGGGCAGGGTCAGTTTAAGTTTTTCTGCACAAACAAAGTGGCTTTTTAACCAAGATGGAATCGCTCTGGCTAAATAGGCCCTGACAATAGACACTTTCCTTCCCAGCACTGCTCTCCATTGGTTGCCACACCAGAATCCAAGCCACTGCAGGCCAGCTTTCTTGGTGCCCAGACTCCTGCATTCCCGTGTCTGACGGGGTGTCTGGACAAATGAAGAGACTGGAAGACTGGGAAGAGTTTGCTCTGTAAACCCACCTTCTCCGGGAGCAGCTCTCAAAACCCAGCGTTGCACTGTCCAGATAGGGCTACTGGGATTTAAACTAATTAAAATAAAATTAAAAGGCAGTGCCTCCGTGGCACCAGCCCCATTTCAAGGGCTTGATAGCCTCATACGGATACACTCATCCGTCAGCACAGCTGCAATAACATTTCCACCCTCTCCGAAAGTTCTATTAGAATGCGCCCCCGTGAAGTATTCATTAAGCTGTTCTTTTGGTCCCTTTCTTAACTCAGGTGTTTTTCCTTGGCGCAGCATCTGTGAGCTAGCCCCGAACCCCGCGGGCGTTGGGAAGGACCAGGAAGCGGGCGTGTCTGCGCCCGTGTCAAGCCGCGAGCATGGCTCAGTACAAGGGCACGATGCGCGAGGCCGGCCGGGCCATGCACCTGATCAAGAAGCGGGAAAAGCAGAAGGAGCAGATGGAGGTGCTGAAGCAGCGGATCGCCGAGGAGACCATCATCAAGTCGAAGGTGGACAAGAAATTCTCGGCTCATTACGACGCCGTGGAGGCCGAGCTCAAGTCGAGCACGGTGGGCCTGGTGACCCTGAACGACATGAAGGCCAAGCAGGAGGCCCTGCTGAAGGAGCGGGAGATGCAGCTGGCCAAGAGGGAGCAGCTGGAGGCGCGGCGGCTGCAGCTGGAGGCGCTGCGGGAGAAGGAGCGCAAGCAGGAGCAGAAGCGCAAGGTCTGCAGCCTGTCCTTCACGCCGGACGAGGGCGACGAAGGCGACGGGGACGGCGTGGCCGGGGAGCAGCCCGGGTCTGCGGCGGGGAGCAAGCGGCGGAAGAACCTGGGGAAGAATCCCGATGTGGACACGAGCTTCCTGCCGGACCGCGACCGCGAGGAGGAGGAGAACCGGCTGCGAGAGCAGCTGCGGCAGGAGTGGGAGGCGCGGCGCGAGAAGGTGAAGCGCGAGGAGATGGAGGTCACGTTCAGCTACTGGGACGGCTCGGGGCACCGGCGCACCGTGCGGATCCACAAGGGCGGCACCGTGCAGCAGTTCCTGAAGAAGGCGCTGCAGGGGCTGCGCAAGGACTTCCGCGAGCTGCGCTCGGCCGGCGTGGAGCAGCTCATGTACATCAAGGAGGACCTGATCCTGCCCCACTACCACACCTTCTACGACTTCATTGTCACCAAGGCCCGGGGCAAGAGCGGGCCGCTCTTCAGCTTCGACGTGCACGACGATGTGCGGCTGCTGAGCGACGCCACCATGGAGAAGGACGAGTCGCACGCGGGCAAGGTGGTGCTGCGCAGCTGGTACGAGAAGAACAAGCACATCTTCCCTGCCAGCCGCTGGGAGCCCTACGACCCCGAGAAGAAGTGGGACAAGTACACGATCCGATGACCCCCTTTCCGTTCCCCCCTAGGCTCCCCGTCCTACCCTCCCTGGTCCTGCAGAGCCCTGGCACACGTGGCCTTCGCAGCCTCTGATGGCCTCCTGCCCACGCCCAGGCAGCAGCACCCAGCATAGGAAACAGATTTCTGTACCCTGTCACTCCCAACTTAATTTGGTGACCTTAATTTCTTGCCCCAAATTGAATAAAGAACCGAGGGTTCTCACGTTATTCAAGTGTGGTCCTTCTATTGCTGATGTTTTTGGGGGGTGCTTGGTTGTTTGAGGGAGTGTGTGGGTATTAATGTTACTGTGTGGACCCATTATATGGCTCTGTTGAGCTATATTGAAACCATCACTGGGCTCCACAGGACAGAATGAGAGTATGGGGTGCATTTTTTACCTGAGTCAAAAAGTGTTAAAGCAAGTAGTCATGAGCATGGACTTTGGAGCCAAACTGCCTGAGTTTGATTCCCAAGTCAGCTTCTTTACTTGCTGTGTAATTTGGGACAGACTAATTGAACCTCTGTGCCTCAGTTTCCTCTCCTGTAAGTAGGGATAAGAATAGCACTTACCTCATAAGATCCATGTGAAGGTTAAATGAGTTAATATTTGTAAAGCACTTAGAACTCAATAAATGTCTGCTGTTACTCTTCTTATGGTCTTAGTTAATTTATCTAAAGAACTGCTGTGACCCATTTCAGAACCATGTGAGGGCAAAGATTGACCTCCCCATAACTTTTCCCAAGATCAGGTGGTTCACAAACTGGGGGAGCAGCCCCCTCTGGAGCAGTCCTTAGCTGGGTTGTTTAGCCTCAGGGGTTAGGAGTTGGTTAGTATAGCCTAGAGATGATGATTTGGGCCATGCCTTGTGCCTCCAGCTCTGACATGGCTCTGCACAGTGCTGCTAAAGATTTATTTATTATTTATAATAATAAATATTATTATTTTTAAATCGTTATTTAAAATTTTGATATTTTACTCATTGTGGATTTCCTTGTGTTAATGTTGATTTTTTTTAAATATCGCGTTAAAATGTTTATCTTAAAATTAAAATTTTTTGAGAGGTTGGGGAAGGGCCAGAGGAAAAGGGAGAGAGAATCCCAAGCAGGCTCCACTCTCAGAGCAGAGCCCAACATGGGGCTCAATCCCATGACCCCATGATCATAACCTGAGCTAAAATCAAGAGTTGGAAGCTCAATTGACTGAGCCAACCAGGCACCCCTAAAATATTTATTAATTACTGAATTCTGGGGTGTTTCCACCCCCTTTCCACCCCCCATTTACCTTAATGCCCAAGGCAGATGCCTCACTCACCTTACCCCAGTCCCAGCTTCTTTTCTCAGAGTTCTTGTTTCAACCCATAAACAAGAACTTCTGCCAAAATGTTGGCCCTCTGAGGCAGTGGGTCCCAACCTGTGCTGTCCATTAGGATCATCAGGGAAGCTTTTACAGCTGCCAAATTCTCAGTGACGCTCAGAGTCAGGATCTCAGTGGGAGGCAGACAGTACATGTTTTGAAGCTCTGCAGAGTTCAATGTGCAGTCAGGTTAGAGAATGAATGTGTTAGGGTTGCCTTCTCTCTACATCTTACTAATTCCTCTGCTGAGATTTTGGCCATAAGCTCAACTGGGTCATGCCCAGGATGGGTTGAGGACCACCAGAGTGGACTCTGGTTTATTTCAGTGAGATATGAAATGGTACCCAAAGTGTGATGCTTGCTTGGAGCAGCAGTGTCATACCTGGTGTCTTGTTAGAAAGCACACACCTATTGAATTGGAATGTGTGACCCAACAAGATTACCTGGTGATTCACATGCACACTAAGATTTAGTGACCTGTGACTGGCTACATGTCTGCTCTATAGTCTGCAGTTCTAATATATTAATTCAAAACTTAGACTTAGGGAGTATTAATAGTAGAGCTCTGTATTTTTGGTCCAAGCCACATTTTCTAATCCAGCTTTAATAATGTTGATATGCTAACCACAGTCTAACTCCTACATCTATTTCTTAATTGGTTTGGAGTTACTTAGATTTACCCTACTTTGTTCTGCCATGCATGACAAAACCCCAAAGTCACAGTGGCCTAAGCAAGCCTATTTTTTTTTTCCTATGCAAGCCTGGGGATAAATTTGCATAGCACCAGTCAAGGACCTGGGCTACTTCCATCTCTTCTGTTATCCAAGTGGCCTCCATACCCACAGGTATATCATAAGCCAAGATGGAAGTTCCAACTCCAGTCACCACGTCCACATCCCAGGAAACAGAAAGAAGGTAAAGGGAGAAAGGGAAATCCCAAAGTCATAAAATGTCTGTCTCTTAAGGATACCTGTAAATTGACAAATAATAATTTGGCTATATCCCTTTTGTTAGAATTTGGCTACTTGGCCACACCTTGCTACAAGGAAAGCTGGGAAATGTAGTCTTTTTTTTGGTCAATTTAATTTTTTTTTCATTTTTAAAACTTTTCAATGTCAGTACAGTTAAGATGCAGTGTTATACTAGTTTCAGGTATGCTATATAGTGATTCAACAATTCTAACATTACTCAGTACTCATTATAGTAAAGTGCACTCACCTTCACATATTTCACCCATACCCCCCACCAACCTCCCCTCTGATAACCATCTGCTGTTCTCCATAGTTAAGAGTCTGTCTTTGTCTTTTTTGTTTATTTAATAAATTCCACATACAAGTGAAATCATACATTATTTTTCTTTCTCCGACTGACCTTACTTAGCATTTCATCCTCTAGATCCACCTATGTTGTTGCAAATGGCAAAATTGCATTCTTTTTTCATAACTGGGTAATATTCCATTATGTGTGTGTGTGTGTATAATGTATGTCTGTATGTATATATGTATGTGGTATATATACATATACCACATCCTCTTTATCCATCCATCTATTGGACGTGGGTTGCTTCCATAACTTGGCTAACGTAAATAATGCTACAATAAACATAGGGGTGCATATATCTTTTTGAACCAGTCTTTTCATATTCTTTAGATAAATTCCCAGAAGTGCAATTATTGGACCATATAGTAATTCTATTTTAATTTTTTGAGGAACCTCCATATTGTTTTCCACAATGGCTGCACCAGTTTGCATTTCCACCAACAGTGCACAAGGGTTCTTTTTTCTCCACATCCTCACCAACACCTCTTGTTTCCTGTGTTGTTGATTTTAGCCATTCTCACAGGTGGGAGGTCATATCTCATTGTGGTTTTGCTTTATATTTCCCTGATGATGATTGATGTTGATATCTTTTTATGTGTCTCTTGGCCATCTGCATATCTTCTTTGGAGAAATGTCTGTTCATGTCTTCTGCCCCATTTTTAAATTGGATCATTTGTTTTTTGGTGTTGAGTTGGATGGGAGATGTAGTCTTGAGTTGAACTACATCGTTACTGAATTTCTGCCTTCTGATCTGTCCATTTCTCATAGAGGGTCATAGAAGTCTCCAGCTATGATAGTGTGTTAAGCATAATAACCACTACACTCTGGAAATGCAAATAGGTAAATACTTCACCTATTAAAGCCCTTAACCTATTTAAATTCCCAGTTCTGTTAATTCTAACAGTCCTGCCATATCTGGTTCTGATGATTTCTCTGTCTCTTCAAATTGTGGTTTTGGCCTTTTGGTATATCTTATAATTCTTTCTTGATAGGTAGACATGATATGCCAGATAAAATCTTTTAATGAGATCATGCCCCTAGACTGTGAACTTCAGAAGTATTTCCCAGTTTTTTTCTCTCCCCCCTTAAGTGAAACGGGATGTCAAAAGTGGGCAGGAATTTGGTATTTCCTTTCTCTCAAGTCAATTGAGCTCTGGTAATACCCCAGCAGATTAGGCTGTAGTTAACTAGTTTCTTCTGAGGGCAGACCTTGTTAAGAATAGAGTGCTCCATTGCATTTAAAATTGTTTCCTTTCCCCTCCCTTTGCAAGAAACAGGAAGGAATTTTTCTCTAATATTTACTGTGGGAACCTGATTGACCACCTGAAGGTAAAACAAAAATATGGGTTCCTGGAGTTCTCAAGAGTTGACCACACTGAGCCTGAAGTAATTGTCAATTACAGTTCAGGTTTCTGTATACCGGCAAGGTTTCCTCATCCTGGCACTAGTTCCTGGAGAGGTTTCTGCTCATGGGTTACTGCTCCCATAAGTTTGAATTCTTTTTATCTGTCCGTTTCTCTAGTTACAGGACAAAAGTCTGTTCTGTGACCTTACTTCTCTGATGGTTCCTATGAGAGTTGTTGATTTTTCAGTTTTGTTTGGCAACTTCAGAGCTCTTTATATGCCTAAACCAGAACTCCTACTCCTTCAATATTAGGAAGCATTGAACATTCTAACAACTTTAGCCTTTTGAAAAAGAGGCAGTCCTCCTCTGCAGTCCTGATGTGTTCCAGTCTGGGTTGGTTTCTCTCTGCAGTCCGTGGCTGATATTTTGGAACCTCCTTTTACCATTATCCTGGAAATCTCCTCTATCTGCCTTCTATGTTAAATTCCATGTTTCCTTTAGCTTGGGTCTTCTTGTGTTCTTTCTTGATTTACTTCCTCTTTTTGATGAAGTACATTCTCCCACTGTTTGATGATGAAGAATATTTGAGAAGTATTGTTTTTAGAGCTTGAATATTTAAAATTTTTCTTCATTTTACCCTACTACATGATTGAAAGTTTGGCAGATGGAACTCACTTTCTGGCAAAAGTAATTGTTTCATAGTCTCATAGCTTGCTTTAAATAATTATTCCATTTAATATATTTAGCTGGAGGTCAAGTGTAGGGGTGGTTACATAAAATCCATGGCAACCATCCCAGACCCTCCTTAGAGGAATGGCTTCCTCCATTTTTTTTGCCCCTCATTTCCTCTGTATATTTTAAGATGCTCTGCTTCTGCCTGTCCAAAGAGGACTTCTCAAAGGAAGAAACCCCTCCTTTGTTGGGTCTTTCGATTGCCCAGTCCTCTCCCTGGCAATCTTCACTCAGGTGTAAGTCCTCTCCCTTTACT